TGGAAATCAGTTGGTGACTGGACCCTTCAGATGACAGGTCAGAGGAAAGTACATCTCATCGCTGTTTCTTCTCTCATCATATTTCTCCTTGCATCTTTTCCTCACATCACACAGTACGTGGGTGGGACTAAGTTTCAAGGATATGATGAACATGAGGGAAACGCAGATGCAATCAAAAGAACTGGGATTTACTCAGTGATAGGAAGGGAGGGTCAGAAAGAATGTCTCGAAGATAGAAGCTGGACATTTCAAAGACTACACTCCTCCTCCTCACTTCTCAGTCAGGGCAGAAAATCAGTTTATAATGTCTACCTGACACTGTCTGTCCACCATTAATACTATCACCCTTAAATAGGTTCTGACACACCAATTAGTGGAAAGTAGCTACACAGAATGTTTCCTTTTCTTTGCCATTGTGCTTGTGATCAATTGCAATAGACCAGAAAATCTATAATGTGAAGCTTAGTCACAGTCAAGGCTATAGGAGTCTTTGGAGCCTGTGGGATTTTAAATAACACCAATAACACCGTGTGCGATCATTAGCTTGTCAGGTTTTATTACACTAGCACCTGAAGGCTGGTCCACCCACCACAGCTGTTTCCTAACCTGTTATTTTGGGTAAATAGTACACAGAGAGAAGTGAGGTTTGGTGAGAGTTAAGACACTTGTCATCCATCAGTTACTGCAGTGCGTCTCTCTGTCTACTCTCTTACCCCATTTGACTTTCCCTTCTTTGTCTCTTTCCACTGTTCCCACTTCATCTCTCCTGTTCTTTACAGTTGACATCTCTATCTCAATCTCACGTTTAGTAAAAAATCTTTATGCTTTATTAGCATGAATGTTACAGCTACATCATTGCTAAAGCCAAATTACAGTTTGGTGATTACAATTAACAGTTACATATTTGATTTAAAAAAGTCAATAAGAAAACAAACATTCTGTAAACTGTACTTCAGTACAGCTGTGCTCTAAGTTGAAAGCTAGTGTCAGCACGGTACCACGCTCACAGGGACTTTTTTCTGAGGTTTAGCAAGTTATCTATTTTTGTGTGTTTAGGAAATATGTCACTAAATTTGCTCATTACTGTAAATGCAAACTACAGCAGTGGCCCGGGGGAACGTCATTAGATTTGGAAGCATTTGGTCACAAGCCAAAGTCAAACTTTGACCTGATGATAGGAGGAAAATTCAGCAAATCAACAGAGTCATAGGATTTTCTGTACCAAATTTGACTGCAACTCATCCAAGACATTTAAGACATTTCAATAAACCCCAGGCACCATAAGCCATGACAATCTCATGGTAGCAGTAATGTCAGGGGACTACAAATGTTTGCATGAAATTTCATCACAATCCATCCAATAGTTGCTTAACCTGAACCAAAGTAAAAGAACCAACTCACCATCAGTGCCATTTCTAGAGCAATGCCAGAGCACGGCTGAAAAGAAAACGTGTTTACTTGTTCAGTGTACTGCATAAACACTACTATACAACCCTGTGCTTTGCACCACCAACCATCCGCCTCAGCTACCTTCCTATGACTTCTGACTATTAGGATGTCACACTTCCTGGACAGCAGTGGAACACTGCCAGGAAATAAATCCATGCAGTAATTATGTTTTCACAAATTTCTATTTAGAAAAGGAAAGTTGTAGTATATAATGTATTTAGTAGGTGCTAGCATGGCAAGTTCACAGAAAATTTGACTCATTTTCTAGTTACATCTTCTGACTTCTACATGACTTTCTCTGCTGATGTTCTGTCATACCATGCTCCCCCCTGAGGGATCTTCATCCCACCATATTAAGAATGGAAATGTATCTGCTTCCATTGTAATTACAAACACACTGGAAGCAAAGCTTCTTCATCTCCGCTGGATCCTGGCTTCCTTTTCATTTTTCCTTTATTTACTCACCTCTCTCAGCCGAGAGGACAGACACATGCTGAGCTATCAGTTCTGTTTTTCTTCCCTTTCTGTCGGGCATTCTTTGCATCTAATATCCCTGAAATTACAATAGCATTTAGGAAGGCAATAACAACAATGAACTAGAAGGAAGGGTGTCTGAGAAAAAAAAAGACTAAACAGAGAGAGAGAGCTGCTTTACTTTCTTTGTGAATTTTTGGGTATATACACTAAGTAGTGTAAGATGAGAAGCTGTAAAAGTGCGTAGGGAAAATTCCAAGGCTGGAAAAATGCCATAGTTTACTAGTAGCGTGGAGATTATTCATCCCTAGACACAGTGAATCCTCCTTGAGGTCAAAGTGTTGACTTCTAACAGCCCTGGATGAAGGCGTAATAGTGGGGGAGAAATGACTTTCGGCAGGGACATAACGAAACCTGCTGAAAAGAAAACAACCATCCCCACTGTCCCATGAAAACAGCCCAGTTAAGCCAGCAGAGTCTGCTGCGGTTTGAGTACAGAAGGTTAAAATGAGGACAAGCGTTTGATGAACCCGTAGTGATCTGTAACTAAGACCAGTTAGGCAGGTACTGAGAGGAGTGTAGCCTACCAGCATCCCACAAAAAGACAAAAACAGTCAGAACAATAGAGTGGGAAAACAACAAAGATGTGTCCCTGTGGTTAATTCATGCATTGTTTCCAGGGTTAGTTGCAAATCCATTTTGGTCCCTGACCAGGTATTCAGTAATGCAGTTTCACTGGGGGCATCACTGTTTTTTTTTTTTTTTTTTTAAACACACCATCTCACTCTAGTCTCCTGAAAGGACATTATAAACAGTGTCACAGTACAAAGACAGATCTCGCATGTGCTGTCTTCTTTTGCTCTAACATCCTGCATGCGTTCACACCGCAGCATGTGGAGTGAGTTAGTACAGTATAGAGAAACCAGCTGAGGAGCCAGTTAGAAACTCAAGCTTCCCTCCTCAGACTCACAATTTTTTGTCTGCTCACCCTCACATCCCCCTTTATATATGGTAAAATACATATTATCTAAAGCCATCCTCTGCAACCAAGTGCTCCCAGCTGCCAATAAAATGTGATTGTAATATTATGATGACTAAATGCAAACTTAATTGTTGCAAATTTTCCATTTATTTTGGTCATTTTAATTATTACCTGAAATTACAACATTTGTGGTTAATCATTTACAACAGTGCCGTTTCCGAGACTGACCTACAGCATCTAAGATTGAGCTGAATACCCCAGTTGCACCCAGTGGTGGAAAGTAACCAAGTACATTTACTCAAGTACTGTACTTAAAGCAACATTAACATTTTTAGGTACCTGTACTTTGAGTATTTTCATTTTGTGCTACTTCAAACTGCGACTTCACTACATTTTAGAAGCACATATTGAGCACTTTTAGTACTTTAAAGTATGTTTTGATGCTAATACTTTGGTACTTTTACTTAACATTTTTAAATGCAGGACATTTACTTGTAACAAAGTATTTTTACACTGTGGTATTGCTACTTTTTACCTAAGTAGGGGATCTGAGTACTTCGTTCACCACTGGTTACACCTACAGAATATACAGTAAACTGAAGTGAGAGGAGCCCAAAAGCTACATCCATGTGTAGTGAAACTACAGCTGAGTAGTTTTTAGTCTAGGGATTTTTTTTTTTCTCCACTCATAAAACCAGTGGCCTTGCTTAGTCAGAGCAGGACAAAAGTAGTTTCGTGTTAGTCAAACTTTTGGAAAAACCAGCCTAGAGTAAATCAGCACCATTCAGACACTCCTGGCTCCTATGTGTGGATGTTGATTAGCGATGACTGTGCTTCCTGTGGGTGTGGCAGTGAGAACAGAACAGACCGCAGTGTTCCCAAAAACATGGTGAGAAATGCAGATGAAACAGAGGCCCACCACAACTAGAACAGCCACAACTTTTATAACTGTCCTGGAATGTCCCCCGTTGTTGCTTCCTGTTTGTGCACAGCACAGTTTAAATCACCCAACCTCCTCCAATCTTTACATGGCAGTAGCAAAGTTTGTTTTGCTATTTTGTCACAGCAAACTAATGCACATACAACACTGGGCACTAAAAGATCATTTCCTTGCTCCTTACTAAAAAGCATCTCCATCTGAATTAATATATACCTTGAGATCACAGGGATGACATAAAAGGACTACTGTGTGCAACCAAGAGCCAGCTGACAGAGATGATTATCATATCTAAATCAAATCAGGTTCTTCACACATTGCATGCAAGCAATTCAGTAGAGTCTTAACATGTTGGAGAAGGGCAGCTAGGAATTTAAGAGATGCATATTCTAAGATGAGAGAATATCAGTAATGTGTCATAATGGAAAATAAAAAAGAAAAATATGTATGTAGCCTTATTAATACATTTATTCAAGTAAGAAATACTGAAAAATAAAAACCTGCCAGATCATTGTTTCCAACTCTGTGACAGCAACATGACGATAATAAAATTTCTCAATTTAGCTCATGCCTGAGTTCCAGTCACACCCTGAACATTATGTTAAAAAACCAGATCACACCAATAAAGTCAAGTCAACAGATTGCAGAACGGCAATTAATTCCAAGGATAATGACAAGGGAAGTCGTCCAAAAGTGTCTCTACCTCAATTAGTCTCTCACTGCACTGCTGATGCAAAAGACAGATGAAAGAAAAACAAATTAAGTTTCAGAGAAACCAGAGGGAGACAGAGTGAAAGAAATAAAGCAGGGAGAGAAGGGAAAAAGAAAGA